TTGAGGGCGTTTAGGATGTGCGTCGTGAAGGACAGCCCAGACAGCCAACTCTTCAACCACCCCGGCGCCCTGACCAAACTAGCCCTCTGGATTGGGGAAGCGCTCGCAGAGCAGGAAAAGGACGCCACCGGCAAGCTAGCCTTGGGTGGAAGAGGTACACCCCTTGTCGTAGCCAGTCTCGACGAGAAGCGCGGCGTCTACGTCGTCGTTGGCACGGGCGGTGGCGGCGGGCCAGACACCATCTTCCTAGACAAGGAAGCGCAAAAGAAGAAGCAAAAAGAAAGGGAGGAAAAGGCCAAGGTGAGGGAAGAGGCCAAAAAGGCCAAGGAGAAGATCAAGGAGGAGAAGAAAGCGGCGAAAAAGAGGGAGAGGGAGCTGAGAAAAGAACAGGGGGGAGATAACGACGAGGAGGAGGAGGATGACGGGTCAGATTTGGACAGTGAGGAGGAGGATGATGATGATGATAGTGAGGATGACGACAGCGAGGACGAGGAGGATGAGAGTAGGGAGAGGGGGTATGGGCTGAATAGGTTTGGGACGGCGTTTCAGGATGTGGTGGCGGAGACGAATGCGAGGGTGAGGATTGATAGCTTTGAGCATTGCGTGGTGGAGGTGAAGAAGGAGGATTTGAGTGGGTTTTTGGAGAGTTTGAGTATGAAGGCTGTTGTGGGCTGAGGGGGTGTTGTTGAATTGGGAGTAACTGAAAAGTAAGAGGGGTGTATCATCATGGTGGTCGTTATAGGGGGGGGGACAAGCGTTGTGTGGTTTTTGTTTACCCTATAGAAGGCAGGCATTGTCTCTTTTTCTTTTCTTTTCTTTTTCGTTGATTGGTTTGGTCGTCTTTGTTGTTGTTGTTGTTGTTGTTACTCAAAGTTTGTATTTACACTTACCCCGTTATATCCCCCCCTTTTCCTGTTTTTTGCAAAGCTATGCATTTTTCTTTTTCCTTTTTTTTTTCTTACACACATTACATTATTACCCCCCCTCTTAGCACATAAACAAAAACGGAGGATGGGGACAAACATTGAAACGGGTTGGTTGTTGATCATGGGAAGCACACACACAAAAAAAAAGAGAGATGGGAAATATTGTGGGAAAATCATGTAGGGAAAAGGGAAGGGAAAGAAATAGGAGCATGTCGGTTTCTAGGTTTTCTTGTGCATAGCAGGCTCTTTTTTCTAGCTTTTGTTTGTTGAAATGTCATATCATCATTTTTTCTGTTCAAAACATGGTCTGTGAGATCATTTTGTAGGGCTGCGGTTCTACAGGGAATGTAGAAGCAGGATCGCCATGATCTACAGATTTGTAGTTTTTACAAGTATATACATATATGATATCACTCTGGTGTGCGTGTAGGATCCTGGTTCTAGAAAGCCGGCAGGGTCGGCAGTCAGAACCGGCCGGTCAGCAGTCCAGGGACGGCATCGGCAGGGTCGGTCTGGGGGTAAGGTAGTTCCAGGTTCAAGGGGGCCCTTCCTGTCCGGGGCGGTGCCGATCCGGGCCGCTCCGTACGCAGGCACTGTGGTGCTTCAGGACCGAGCCCCTTGCTTATAGTTTTGTATCTGGACACCGAGCGCCGGCATGTAGTATAGTGTCCTTACACACCAGCAGTGGTACTTGGGTACCTAAGAGGCAACGAATGAGCTTAGCAGAGTCAAGCTTTGAAGGGGTTTACCACAAGACAGAGAAAGGGGGGGGGGGGGGGACTTGTGTCGGATTGATTTATGGTCTGGCTCTGGCGGCTCAAAAAGTTGGGGGGAGTTATCGAGTGGTAGGTGGGTGGTGGTTGGGCTTTCTTGGCGGGTTTGCACTGCCCCCTTTAGGTAAGCATCACCCCTCTTCTCTCTTGAAGGACGGTGAGAGTTGTGGTTTAGACTGTGTGGGATTGTGAAAGAGATGGAAAATGTCGGTGACGCATGAGGAGAGGTTTTTTTTTTTTTTTTTGGGGGGGGGGGGGGGGGGTGGGTTGGGTGGGGGGGGGGGGGGGGGGGGGGGGGGGGGGGGGGGGGGGGGGTGGTTGGGGGGGGGGGGGGGGGGGGGGGGGGGGGGGGGGGGGGGGGGGGGGGGGGTACGCCCCCCCCCCCCCCCCCCCCCCCCCCCCCCCCCCCCCCCCCCCCCCCCCCCCCCCCCCCCCCCCCCCCGCGCCCCGGTGTTGGAGAGGTTGATGATGTGAGGGAAGCTGGGGTGGTCTATCAAGCAGGGAGGCTGAGGCAGGGAGAGAGAGAGTGAGAGAGAGAGGGCAAACTAAGAAGGTCTATTGTTGCTGCGCCCAGTAGAGAGACCGAGAGACTAGGTGGATGAGGTCTACTTCGTCGGCTGGCTGGCCGTTATGGTTTACCGCCTGTTTGTGTAACAAGGACGGGAGCTGCATGATGGTTGGCCTCCCTGACACACTTTATGTTCTCGAATGTTCAGACTCTCTTGCTGCTTGGTTGTTTTGGTGTTCTGATAATGACTGTGCCCCTCAATTACCGGAGGTGAGGGGCAATCTCGCAAATGTGCTTTTTCACAGTGTGCTTCTGACGTAGGCTTCGGGCAAAAAAGGCGATTCAGAACAGCACGCGATATCGAGGTTTGCCCATGTGATGAGGAGGGGAAAAGGGGGCGGAGCAGATTCAGGATATGCAGAAAGTCAACAAGATTCAGACTATAGGCACAAGGTAAGGCAAGGCAAAGCGAAGCATGGTGTAACAAGCAGCACAAGCAGCGAGTGCCCAAGAGTCCCCGTCCGTACAGTGTAAGTTGACCGTGCGCCAAATGCATGCCCCAGGGCGGGAGCGGGCAACCCCCCAAGCCCAGGAAAGCAGGAGGGACTGCTTGGACTGCCGCAGTCGTCACTTCCCGCCGCGGCCGCCTCGCCTCGCCTTTTGCTCTGCTCGCTCCATCTGCTTTCCCTTCCCCGAGACTCCGTCTTCAAACATAGCATTTTGCGAACACTCCGTTTTTGCCCAGCAGACTGCCTTTTTTTCTTGCCTCTTTTTGCATCTGTCGCTGTCTTTGCTGTCTCTCTTGAACTGGCTGACAAACTGAACCCCCGCTTCGCATTGCCCGCACTGTCCACCACCACCGCCAGACGAACCCCGATTGAGCAATTGAGCTGTCCGCTCTGTGGCTTGTTCAACCCGGACAAGACTGTCGCAAACCCCTCCTTCGATTTGCTTTCTTGTCGGCAATAGTCAGCGCGACATCTCCGATACCCTCTCATCGATTGGCGATTTCGAATAGTGTATCCAACCGCGATCATGGGCAACTTGTGAGTGCTTTTCCCTGTTGGATCCGGGCGCGGGAAGCAGCAATAGTAGATGGGAGTTGTCAGCCGGCAGGGGAGGGGAGAAGCTTTATTGTGGCCGGGTATCATAGGCCCTGGAATCATGACATGGACTAACATGTGCGCTCTCGAAATACAGGCAGTCCAAGAAGCTCCCTGACGATCAGCTGAAGGAGCTCCAGAAGTCCACCAACTTTGACAAGAAGGAGCTGCAGCAATGGTACAGAGGTAGGTCTCTTACTCTTTACCTATCACTCTACTACCGCTTTGCTCACAAGAAATAGGTTTCCTCAAGGACTGCCCCAGTGGCATGTTGAGCAAGGGCGAATTCCAAAAGATCTACGCCCAGTTCTTCCCATTTGGCGACCCAAGCACATTCGCCGACTATGTCTTCAACGTATTCGACACGGACAAATCGGGAACTATTGATTTCAAAGAGTTCATCTGTGCTCTGAGTGTTACCAGCCGGGGTAAGATGGAGGACAAGCTGGACTGGGCTTTTCAACTGTACGATATCGATGGCGACGGGAAAATCAGTTATGACGAGATGTTGAAGATTGTGGAGGCGATTTACAAGATGGTATGTTTGATGTGAAGTACAAGGGAGAATCACAGAGTTGCTAACAGAGGCAAAACCAGGTCGGCTCGATGGTTAAGCTGCCAGAGGACGAGGACACACCCGAGAAGCGGGTCCGAAAGATCTTCCGGATGATGGACAAGGACGAGAATGGGAGCCTGGACATGAACGAGTTCAAGGAGGGCTCCCAACGGGACGCCACCATTGTGTCGGCGCTGTCGCTCTACGACGGGTTGGTGTAACTTTTCTTTGCGGCGAACCCGGGGGAGGATTTCTGCGTTTAGGCGGGCTTGTCGCTTACTGGTCTTGACACGATACCACTTGCAGCGATGACGTGGAAGAAAGCCAATACGCCAGTCCGTTCCCCAACTAGCCCGCCTATGTTCTTCCTACGCGACGGGGATCATGGGGGTGATGGGAGTGAAATTAGGGGGGCGGTTGATGGATCGTTTTGTAGGAGATATATGGAAGACGATGTGTTTTTGCGCATTTAGGACTGTAAGGCAATCATGGATGTGGTGAAAACAGCAAGACAGTGTGAGAAAGAGGGGATCAGCGATGTTTTCTTTTTGTTATTTTTCTGCCTTTGCGCCATTTCTATTTGGGAATAATGGCAGCAGTCCCCTGGGTATTTTAGTGTTGGCTGTTTCTGTTATTATGTGCAGGGCGTCTTGTACTGTATTTATGTATCTGGTTTCTATGCTACTCATGTTGAAGCTTTGGTGATGTGTTGTTCTGATGACTGCTGGGTGAAAGTTTCTGAGAGATCATGTCTTTTGCAAAGGCTACATGAAGTCTAACTTGACTATGACGTCTTGGTAAACTTAGCAATCAGTCCTTCTCGCTGGATTAATTTAGTTGTGAAATAGAGCGAGATCTTCCTCTTCTACTTGGCATCTACCGTTTACCCCAATCCTTCATATACTCTCTAGATCTTTAAAGAGGGGCGAGATAATGAGACTATACGAGGACCAAGTTCTTCCATCTGAGAAATTCACTGCTCTCGAAAAAGGATCAATAAGAAGCGAGTGAAGTGTGGGGTGTGTAGATTTAAGTGGGTCAGTGAGTGATGTCCGATGTGAGTTGAGGGATATAATGACATTGTCTGGACACCACCTCCAACAAAATCGGAGACCACACACGATTTTCGTAGAATCGGGTATGGTGTAGCGGTAACATCGTTGACTCTCACTTCTCAGAAGTGTCTGTTTCTCTCTCTCTCAACAGCCCCGGGTTCGACTCCCGGTATCCGAGTCTCTTTTTTCGCTTTCTGCGGTCTTTTTGCGGGTTGTTTGTTTTACATAAGAGGTTTAAGGTTGGGCAGGGATGGGCTTGTGTTCTGTGTCAGGGACGGAAGCTTATTTTTGCTTGGGGGAGGGGGTGGAGGGTAGTAAGTTGCGAAACGGTTGGTTGTTAGGATAGCTATGGAAGATAGATAGCTTATGAAGAAGGGGTAGTGTACGGAGCATATATATGTTTGTGCTTCTCTGATAACACTGTGAGAAGCTCACAATCACATGGGAGCAATCAGTTCCACAGGGGTTGTACGGTAGTGTAGAAGTTTGATTCCTCCAAACAGCGCTCCAATCAGCTTCCTCCCAGTGATCCAAAACGGCATGGACCGCTGCCCTGTGGACCCCTGTGTTTTTGAGCCTGAGCTGAGCTGGGCTGGGCTGAGTGAGCTAGGTATCAGCAGCCGTTGGGAATTGGACGTCATTTTGGAGATCTGGCTTATTTTACCATTTTTGCCATTCTCTCCCACCACCCAATTGAATACTTTTGAACGCAACTGACTTTCTTCACCTTCCTTTGCGTTCTTTTACGTACGGCCATGAGCGCCGATATTTCAGTTCACGATCACAACACACGATGATGGCGACGTCCACGAGCTCCTCCCGCTCCCCCTCCCGCTCGCACTCCTCCTCCACCCTCTCCCGAACCGAAACGCTTTCTTTATTTTCTCTCACGTTTGCCTGCGTCGCGATACTGGCGAATACCTTCCAGGGCGATGGCGAACCCCTCATTGCCTCCCTCGCGCTGAGCGGGATCGCGTTTGCGGCCTCGTTCGCGATGATAAGGTGGCTTGGGCCAACGCTGATGAAGGCTGGACTGAAAGGGACAGATATGAGCAAGGTGAATAAGAGGGAGATACCGGAGTGCATGGGGGGGGTTGTGGCGGTGGTGTACCTGCTGGTGATTATCGTTTTTATCCCGTTTCCGTTTTACAAGGATATTGTGGCGGCGACGAGCGGGGGGGGGAATAGGGATGTGGTGGTGACGGTGGTGGAGCAGGTGGAAAGGGGGAGGTTGTTGCACAAGTTTCCGCATGGGAAGGTATGTTACCTAGGATAATGAAGGGGGTGATGGGGGGGTGCTAATAGGAGAATAGTTGGCGTCGTATTTGTCGGCGATTATTTCGCTGCAGTCGATTACGCTTCTTGGGATAGGGGACGACTTGTTTGATATACGGTGGCGACACAAGTTTTTCATCCCGGCTTTTGCGTCGATACCGCTGTTGGTGGTGTACTTTGTCGACTTTGGGGTTACTTCGATTGTGGTGCCGATTCCGCTGCAGCCGTACCTGGGGGAGCTAGTGAATGTGGGCGCGCTGTACTACGTCTACATGGCGGGCGTGGCGATTTTCAGCCCGAATAGTATCAATATTCTGGCGGGGATCAACGGGATCGAGGTGTCGCAGTCGATTGTCATTGCGGTGCTGCTGGCGATCAACGATTGCCTGTATCTCCTGACGCCGTACCCGCACCCGGCGACGGACTCGCATCTGTTTTCGCTGTATTTCCTGCTGCCGTTTCTGGGGGTGTCGGGGGCGTTGCTGTGGCACAACTGGTATCCGGCGAGGGTGTTTGTGGGGGACACGTACTGCTACTTTGCGGGCATGGTGTTTGTGGTGGTGAGCATCTTGGGGCACTTCAGCAAGACGTTGATCCTGCTGTTGATTCCGCAGATATTCAACTTTTGCTACTCGGTGCCGCAGCTGTTTGGGCTGGTGCCGTGCCCGAGGCACAGGCTGCCGAGGTTTAACGCGAGGACGGGGTTGTTGGAGCCGAGTGTGACTCCGTGGACGGGGGAGAGGCAGCCAAAGGCACCCATTGCGTGGGGGTTGAAGGTGTTGGGGACGTTGAGGCTGCTGAGGGTGACGCTGGATGAGGAGGGGAGGTTTGTCGAGACGACGAACTTTACGATTTTGAACCTCTGGCTGGTCTGGAGGGGGCCGTTGAGGGAGGATAGGCTGGCGTTGGAGATAACGGCTATGCAAACGGTGGTGGGATTGTTTGGGTTGTTTGTGAGGCATGGGCTGGCTCAGTTGATATTTAAGGAGGATAATTGGAGCATGGGGAGTGTGTGATTATGGATTGGGGTCTTTACTTTCTTTCTTGTGTATATATATATTTGTTAGATACACTGTAACAAAAAAGCAACTTCAAATGGCATAGACAAAAAACATGGCATTCTAGATTTCTCGGTGTCTCACCTACTGTAGTGTTGACCACCCCCCCCACTGGAAAGACAATTCGGCATGTGAGCGAGCGGGCCCCTGCAGGGAGCTTGGACCCAGGGGTCTTCTCTGTCACCCACTTTGTAGGTAGTGGAATTCGCGACGTCAGTTTGTTGGAGACCTGCCATCTACCTACCCCAAAGACAGCAGCTTTCCGAGAAACGGACAGGAATTGTCGCACACCCTTCTTTTTTTGTTTTTGTTTTTGGCAACACCAATATCACCCCCCAAAAAAAACAGCCACACACACAGCCTTTTTTCTTTCTTTCTTTCTTTCTTTGAGCCATGTCGGCGAAACTAGCCGCCTTCCTCAACGAGGCCCCCATCGCCGACGACCGGCTGAGCTTCGAGCCCATCATCAAGCACGGCCACCAGGACCTCGTCCAGTCGATCGCCTTCAACGACTACGGCGACCGGTGCGCCACCGGCTCGGTGGACGGCAAGATCCGCGTGTTCAACCGCCACAAGGACGGGGTGTGGCGCCACTGCGACAACTGGACCGCCCACGGCGGGGAGATCACCGAGCTGCAGTGGCTGCCGCCGACGATTTACCCCAACCTGCTGGCCTCGCTGGGGATAGAAGGGAGGTTTAAGCTCTGGGCGGAGGACCCGTCTGCCGCGCCGGGGAGGAGGTTTTCGAATGCGATGGGGGGAGGGGGGAATAGGGCTTTTTCGTATTATACGCAACCTGCTGCGACGGGGGGGCAGAATACCGGCGGTGGTGGTGGTGGGGGGCAACAAAGTGGTGGTGGGCAGCATCATGGTTCGAGACCGGGGACAAGCACGCCTGGTGGGTATGGTCATCATCATCATCATCCTGGGGTTTCTTCGACCTTGTCGACTGCCACGAGCGTGACGTCGCATCCGCATCATCATCATCAGGGGTCGTCGGCGATGACGAGCGCTGTGGGCACGCCGTCGGTGCACAACGAGACTGCGCCTTCTTCGTCGCAGCCGGCGCCGGGGGGTACGAGTTCGGCGCCGAAGCCGGTTTTTGAGACGAGGAACTCGAGGAGTCCGTACCGGTCGTTTAGCATGAAGCATGTGGACTCGACGAGGCATACCTACCTTGCGCTGGTGTCGGCGGATGGGAAGCTGACGGTGTACGAGAATGAGCAGCCGGAGAATCTGACGGATTATACCATGCTGGACGAGGTGGTCATCTCCCGGGAGCAGCCGCCGGCGAAGAGGGGGGAGGAGACGACGTTCAAGGTGCAGTTTGATCCCAACCCGGAGGTGTGCTACAGCGCGCTGCGGGCGGGGGTGCCGGGTGACACGCTGAGCTTGGTGACGGTGGCGATGGACTGCGTGAGGATTTACCGGTCGAGGGATGTGATTAGTCAGAGCTTGGGGGTGCAGACGGTGACCAAGGGGTTTTATCTTGCTGCCGAGGTGAGGTCGGATGTGCATCGGGGTTTGGTGAGGGATGTGGCGTGGGCGGGGGGGAATATTAGGGGGTATGATGTTATTGCGACGGCGTGTCAGGATGGGATGGTGAGGGTTTTTAGGGTTGATACGCCTGTTGAAAAGCAGGATTGGTATGCCAAGGACGAGGAGGAAGATGATGGCGGGAGGGGGTGGTCGAGGAGGGAGATGGGGGGGTATGTGGAGAAGGCGAGGAAGGCAGGGGTGGAGGTTGATGAGGGGAGGAGTGCGGCGGTGAGGGCGGCGGCGAGGGATGTGGTTACTATTGCTGGAGGGATTACACCTGTTGTTCATGGGATGGGAACAGCACAGGATGAGAGGGGGACCGGAACAGGGCAAGGCGGGATCAGAGCGGGACTGGCGACGGAGACGGGGTATGGGGGGCATCATCATCACGGGTATGGGGGAGCGAATAAGAACCCGCAGAGAAAGATCACAGGGTTGCCGGGGCAGATTAGGCATACGATTGAGATGGTGTCGAGGCTGGAGGGGCATAGGACGCCGGTTTGGAGGGTGGGGTTTGATGATGATGGGGTTGTGCTGGGGAGCGTAGGGGATGAGGGAGGGCTGATGCAGTGGAGGATGATGCCTAATGGGGAGTGGGCGAAGAGCAGCGAGTTGGGGATTGTGAGGGTTCGGATGGCTACTGGTTAATCTGGGTATGTGTTCAAACTTGAGCAGCAGCAGCAGCGGGATCAAGCGGGAGTATGGAGTTTATAAGTGTAGTTGGGCATGTAAGAATAGGACGGCGTAGATATTGGGTGTTTCTTGGGGATGGTGTAATAAGTGTGTACTCGAGAGGGATATACCCTGGCTGTTTTGAGCAAATGTTGCAGGAAGAATGGAGCTGAGTTTATATGCCAATGACTTGCCTTGCGGATTGTCATGGTTCATTGTGAAGAGCTATGCTCTTCCCTCTGTCGGGGGAGGGGGCTGGTTTCAAAAAGCTGAAGAAAGCAAAAAGGTACCCCTATCCACAACATAGTGGATCAGGAGAAGAAGCAAAAGATTTTATGTGTCTCGACGTGGGCCTGATTCGAACAGACGCTCCCGAAGGAACAAGATTTCTAGTCTTGCGCGTTAGACCACTCCGCCACCACGCCTGGTTGTTTGATGGAGGTTTAGGTTGGGATTGGACGCTATCCCGAGGCTCTTTGCATTTTCTTTGGTGCACCCTGTTGAAGATGTCATGGACCAAGAATCAGGGTCTTTGTAAGGATATTTCTATGAAGAAATGATAATTTGCAGGTTGGCTTGGAGGTCTTTATTCCTATATTTCCAGGGTGGGATTACATACATGTATGGCGAGATA